AGGAAGACGACCAGCAGTCTCTAGCCCTAATCCTAGGCTCCTATCATTTCCATTCCCCACTGAACTCGAAGCGCACTGTTTCAAATTCCGCTGCGTTTTTCGAAAATATGACAGCATCGTCGAGGAACAAAGGAATTCTCATTAGCTGGTCTACCTGCTTCGTCTCGGTCGAGTGATTGCATTCAGCACTGCAATGTAGAGCGACCGAATTTTGTTAAAAATCGTGTTATTTATCCTGATTTGTTCTTTAGGTCTTTGTAGATACGTAGTAGCAAATCCTTCTTGGATCAATGGATGCCCCAAATGCCTACGGTGATAATCTGTCCACGAAATAACACATTTGCCTCAGGATGTTAAAAAACCTACACTTGTCCATCATTTAATATTTCAATGAGAAGAACCTATGACATTTCAAAAAAACGCATCCGCTCCTTTTTCTGATGAAGGATGCAGGAGAATCACTGAGCAGAAGGACAGGGGTTCTTTTGTCACACGATAAGATAAGCTATCTCATTAATACTGATGGTAAGTTATAACCTAGGTGTATTGTGTCTATTTCAACCTATGAAGATGGTTGAGGCACATAATAATGACAGATTTAGCAACGTTTTTAAAAGCACGAATAAAAAAATTGAGTTCTACTATTTGCTGTTCTCTTGACTACCAAACAGAATGTTGTTGTTTTATGTACTAACAGTAGTTGACGCCTTGGCGGGTTTCGCTTCCATTAAAGTCTGGAGGAATCAAATTGACACGTAATCTACACAAACACTTCTATAGCCTCAGCAGAAAAACTCCATGCACAAATATTTGGTTCGAGAAGATGGCTCGCTGAGGAAGATCTGGCTCGACAGGAAGGCGAAGACGCAACGTCGAGGCGAACAACAGGCATGGACCATCGACTCGGATCACCGGCTCTGAGGAAGACGAAGACGTCGAAACGTTAGCCGAAAATAAATATATTTATCAACCTCGGGCAAGCTTATCAAGAAAGAATACATACAAATATTTGGGTCTAGAAAAGGAATTTGTAGAAAATTCGACAGCCTTTACACTGAGATGCCACCGAACACTCTAAGCCGCCAATTAGTTCGTAATCGCCTGCATCACCGTCTATGCACAAGGCAAAAATGCCTGTGATACCCTAACGGTACAGACGCTGATTTAATGAGCTCGTATATGGTGTACTACTGTCTTGTAAAACGAGTGAGGACGATTGCATTGGCGCAACGGGAAGATCACCCTGCTTCCATCTAAGGAAACACCTAGACGGTAAACGTAAAGTTGAACCAAATACACAACTGTAAGCGGGTAGGTCGCAAAGACATAACGGGGAAGATTTTAAAGTGGAAGTCACCATCCTCGCAGCTACTGTTAATAAATGGTATAATAAGATAAAAATAACAAAAACGTGTTATAACAACTTCAAATGCGCTTGTTAAAAACAGTGAGGTTAATGGAGAGTCGGTCTGGGGAATTACCACAAAATACCCTGCATTTACTAATGCTCTTAATTTTCTTTCAGGTCAACGTTCATTCACGCATAAGTTGCTCAGTTGGAACCGTTAACTAAGGAGACAAGAAGAGCGTTGCAATTTCGATGTGAATTCATTCCTCAGTACCTTTTGGAGGTGGGGACGTATGGATTTCACTAAGCTTCCCAAAATAATGTTAGCTTATTTATTTATTGCCTATTAGAAGTTTTGGAGGCAAGATATTATGTGTGATAGAACTACAATGAAGCTGAGATATTTGCAAAACTTCGAACCACAGTCGTCTGCGGTAAGGAACGACCGCGCTATTACCCTTTGAGGTGGCTAACGCGTTCAGCACCACACCATACGTGTTCTTCGCTACGCTTTTCTCACGTGTGGTCCGGAGTTTTGCAAATATACCAGAGTCGTTCTGATTGTATCACACATAACACTCTGGCGTGAAAAGTAGTAATGGGCAGTAAATGAAAAAGTTAACATTGTGATTTCGACTACAGCCTCAACTTAACTCGGTTCATTGCCGATTTGGACTGACTAAAACAATCCCGATGACGAGTAATTTTTGATAGTGGTAATCGATAAAACTAGATGATAGACAGGCGAAACGAAGGACCCCATGGTGTGGTGGTGAACGCGTTCCTCCCCAAAAAGGACAATTGCGCGTTCGTTCCCCACCGCAGACACCTGCGGTCCCGAGTTTTATATAGCAAATATCTCAGCATTATAGCAGTTATCTTTTGCAAAATACCCTGCCGTTAAAAAGAACTGGCAGCAAATAAAAGGGTTAAGATTGTGATTATAACTATAGCCTCAGTTTAGTTGGGTTCAATGCCGATTTGGGCTCCCCAGATCAATCCCGTTGACGGGTGTTTGCTGATGGTAAAGAAGATCGATAAGACTAGCTGAGAGACAGGCGAGACGAAAGACCCGCATGGTGTGGTGGTAAGCGCGTTAACCCATAAAAAGTAATAGTGCGTTCGTTCCCCACTGCAGACACATATGGTCCGGAATTTTGTAAATATCTCGGCATCAATGTGGCTACATCGCACTTTCCAAAATATTTCGCCAGCAGAATTATAGAAATGTGATATTAGGCTCCTTAAAAGTAGTGAGTTATAACTGTGAGCATTTAATTCATTTGTGATTTGGAGTCCTTCAAACTCTGTTCTACCAATTCAGTCGTACTATGAAGTACCAATAATATTTACGTTAGATTAAATTTTAGTGCCTTGTTGTCATCAGCTGCAACTGATAAAACGTTAATGAACAGAACGATATTGCTTCCTGTTCCGAAGCCCTTTATTTTGTCATGGAGAATTCTACAAAACCAAGATAAAATTTGCAGCCCGTCTTGCCTCATTGGCCATAGACAACAACCGCAACAAGACACTCGATTCTATCATGGATACAAAGACAGTTTCGCTAGGTAAAAGTGGAGGTACAGGTATCAATCAGCACGATATGAATTGCATTGTATTATTTACCACTTCATTTTTACATGACCTGTCATCACATCTACTCTGTGAATCAGAGCGCCTCTCGTACTCGATTCGTTTTCCTCGCGTTCATCGTCCACAATGGTCTTCGAACACCTCACGAGTTGTTTCGCCGCTGCTTGAAAACTTCATTTTTTAAGAAATGTCCTAGAATGTTGGCCCAGTCGATTCTCGAAACAATCTTGAAAATAGTCGAGCTAAAGGGTCCTCACATTGATTAGGGGAGAAGGATGGGAAGAGGACAGGACAGCACCCTACTTCCTGATTAACTGTAATAGGAACCCACTGCTTTACCTCCCACTTTTTGTATTATATTATACCAGCACAAAAATGCTGTGCACTTATAGTAAATCAACTTGCGATGGTTCCGCAGACGTTCGACTTCAATCAACGTTGTTTTTAAGATACCGATGGCGCCGAAACGTCATCATCCACTACAAAGATTTGTAACAACCTTATTTATAACCACAAGGATGCTAAGAGCAGTATTTATAAGCAAAAGGATCCAGTTGAAACAATGTTACTTCGTCTGTGTTTTTCAAAAGGCTTGAAGTATAGAACGTCAAAGTGGATGTTAAACAAAAGTTAATGTTGAAAATGTTTCGTCCTCTTGTTCCCATTTTGACAGTGTATGAATAAAAATATCGCTGTTTTATGAAGAGTAGATGGAAGATTATAAAGCTCAATCAATGCTTAAAGGTTAATAGGAAAGCTCTTATTCGGCTAAGGTTTCGCAGTCCTCGCCTTTTTAGAAGCAAAGTTAATGAGGGCCGATGATAAACAGCTGGTCGTTGCGGCGATGTAGGTATTCGAAAAAGATCAGCTGTGGACCATCTACTCGGATCAACGACTCTGAGGAATACGAAGCCTCCGAAACGTTATGCGAGAAAAAGTCTGATATACTCAGCTCAATAATGTAGAAAATTGACTATTTTTATCGAGGTCTAATGGAAGTCACTTTTAAGATATTCTTTAAAGGATGAAGGATGCTACGATAGACACCACAAAGAGACAAATGTTTTGGCTAGTTCAGTAAAGAATGCTTAGCTGTTGCCCACATGTTACTCGAAAACTCTGTTGGTCCTACTACGGTAATCTTTATAGATATGTTCATATCAACAGAAGCTATTAATGAAGCGAATCTGAAGAGTAGAAGCTGACACTAATAATGAGGCAGGATAGCTTTGGTGGCAGATCCATTAACTGATGTGAGCATTAAACGATATCTTGTAAATACAGACCAACAAAGAAAAGCTGTAAAGCGCGACATCTTGTAGGCAACGAGATACAAAGGAATGAATTCATATGAAATGGCAATACAGTGCTTGTTCAGCAGATATGTTTTCACAACATTCTTTTCCTTTGTTGTTATATCTTGCAGATTTCATGCCTTGTGCAAATTTGAGCTTCATTTTAAACTGCTTTATGTCTTCATAGTCATACTGCGACTAGATTGCTACCAGTGTGTTTCGTTCATGCGATAGAACACAGATGTACTAACGCCGGTGCGAAAGCGGGCGATATAGTTTCGGCAGAGAACGCTTCATCGACCCACCAAGAATTTTAAAGCCTCTGATCTGGCAACGTTTTAAGATCTTCTGAACAGCTTCCTAATCATCCATACAAGACCACACCTCTTCTCTTGAAACCATAATCTGACTTAGTGGATTATATCAGTCTAGCCGATATAAAAGGCACCTGTGATAAGGTTTGAAGCGACTCGTTAGAAATCTCTTGCACTCTTTCAGTTATGGACACACATTTGTACTTTCTTGTCAGGGTTTCATTCACTTCGTATTTTTTTTAAACACAAAATCAGTTAAATAAGTGATACTCAGAACTCGATCACATTAATTCTTAGGATGAGATTAGCCGTTTTCCTTTCAATTGCCGGGATAGCCACTGCAGTTGTTCTTCAACAACCTCTTACACGGCGCAAGCCAATTATGGTACTAGTATTTAACTCGAAAATAGGTCAAATTTGTTCAAATAAAGGCACGACTTTTAACAGATGGAAATGATCGAGCGAGGAGAATATGCAGACTACGTCAACTACCGTAATGCTCTGCGCTCGTCATCGCTCATCACTCTAGGACAACGGGTATGGGCTAATTAACATCGCATTTTCAGATTTAGTACAGTATCTTGTTTATAAAATACTTGTTAGACTGGGTTCATTACTTGATAAGCTGGTTTTATAGCACTCTATATGATACTGGGTCATAAAGAATTGCATAAAACATGTTTTAAAGTCCGAGAAGTTCAGCTTTCAAAAAGTTAGCGTTGCCAATGGAGAAAAATTCTGTCTGAGATAATGTTAAGCAATCAGTAGAACACAGCAGCCATTTTTTTTTATTTTTAGCCGGCTTTTTCTTTTTTGGATTCAAGACAGGAGCATCCCGGTAGCCGTTTCTAAAGAATATTTGGAGAACATAAAGTAGGCACAAATGCACAGGCTTAGCGTAATACGCACTTGGACGCGCCTTCAACGATAAGATTGGATTGAATTCGTATCGTCCGAGAACGTGGAAATGACTGAAAATTGCCTTGATATAAATGCGAACGTCCAGCTTACACAAGAGAGAGCTAGCCCAAGAAAGTCTGTGTAGCGACCTCGTTTAAGCTGAACAATCGAAACATGCAAATTGATTATTCACGCCGTGGTTAAGTGAAAGTCGGTTTAGTAACGTATAAAAGAAAGCTATTCGAAGTAGCCTTTTTTCCGCATGTATAACCTATATTAGCTGAAAAACAAACCGAAAACTTCTTCATATGAACTTCCAACGAATACGCGAAATGCCTTGCTCTTGCTGTCATCTACGGGTTTGAGGGATTGGATGACTCTGCTTACGAATGGGAATGCAGATTTACCGTTAACCCCCCAACACCCTCAATTATTGTTATACTGATGATGGTAAATGCAGTGTGAAGCTTCAGAATAAGACGAACGATGCATCTGATTAAGGTGATTGACTATGGGGACCACGTTTACACCACTAACATCACCATCGGCACACCAGCGCAGCAGTTTGCCGTCGTCGTTGACACAGGATCGGCTTTCTTATGGATTCCTGGGAATGACTGCAAGTGAGTACATCCTGATGATTCCACCTAAAAGTGAAACACTGTTTGAGAGTACAGTATTATGGACTCGTGAAGACTTAAGATATAATTTCAAAACTTTTTCCTCGAAAAACTCTGGAAGTGTTCTTTTATCAAATGAGCGATTAGTTCGTCCATCCGTCATGTAAGAATAGAATGCTTCACCCCAGTACTCCGGATAGAATAATACCCACCTTGCAGTCTGAAAGACTAAGAAGATGTAACTTTTAATGATGCTGAGGTATTTGCAAAACTCCGGACCGCAGGTGCCTGCTGTGAGGAACGAGCGCGCTATTGTCCTTTCCGGGGAGTAACGTGTTCACCACCACACCATGCGGGTCCTTCTTTTCGGCTGTCTCTCAGCTAGTTTCTTATATTTCGCAATATATATCTTGCCGTTAAAAAAGAGTAGGCAGTAAATAATAAGTTAAGACTAAGAAGATGATTGCCTGATTTCTTCCTTAGTTTGCAATAGTGAAAAGATTTTTGAGCCTTTTATTTTGATATTACAAACAAGAAGAATTGTAAAACCAGTTTTACTCAACGAATCAATGAAAACTTTCAGTGCCTCGTGTGGTGCAGGGCACAAGTTTAAATCGGAATCATCGAGCACTTTTATGGGGAGCGACAGGAACTGGACAATGAAATACGGGACCGGGAAGGCAGAAGGGGTTCTTGGAACAGACATCGTGAAGGATGGTGTCATAGCTTCGCAATGGCGTTAATTGTTTTAAATTTACAACTTTATTTATTTTTAGTTAGGCGGATTGGTGGATCGGCAACTAGCAATTCCAAACAGCAGCTTCGGCCTAGCCAAGCAAATGTCTGGCTTCAATTATGTTGGTCAATATAATTCGATTGCTAACGCCATCAGAAACATTCACATAAGATTTTGCTCCAGAAGTTCAGTGATGGGATTCTTGGACTCGGTCTCGCTCTCCCCATACTCAAGGTTGCGCCGGTGCTTATTAACGCAATCAACCAGAGTAGGCGATTACTACTATAAATATTTAGTAATCTTTTATATTAATATCTTCTAATGAGGACTTTCTTAGAGTTGCTTGATAAGCCAGTGTTCACTATTTGGCTGCAGCACCAAGGAACGCAAGCAGGATCATCTGGTGGTCTGATAACCTACGGTGCAGTTGACGATAAAAATTGTGGGCCAGTCATCGCTTACGAGCCTCTGATATCTTGGACTCATTATGTGTTCAAGGTTATAACTTGTTCTTCAAAATGTCATAGAAAGTTGGTAGGGGGTTTTCCGTTCTCTAGTGACTAAAAACGAATGAAGACCTCTACGAAGAATTGTTTGAAAAAGTGCAAATAAGATAACTCAATTCTGACGTTATTTAGAAGTGGTTGAGCTCAACAAGTGGATAAGCTTAACAGTTTATATCGGTTATCTACATATGCAATTAATTGTAATTTAAACGGCTTTTATGTCGGAAATTTTCAGATGTCCAATATTGGAGCAGGAAGTTGCTCGTATCCCAAAGAATACCATGCCGCTTCCGACACCGGTGCAACGTTCATTGGCGGGCCAAAAGTTATCATTGATCAACTCGCTAAAGTTGTTGGAGCCACGGTATAAACGCTCACGTTCTTAAGTTCGGTACGGGTACCTCATCAGTTTTTCTATTTTAGTACAACGCTACTGAGGATCTATACCCTATAGAATGTGATGCCACGCCGCCCGCCCTCGATATTACTATTGGAGCGAACAAATATCTTATCCACCATGTCAACTACATTGTCAAGGTCAGTTCAGTGATGTTCCAACTGTTTGCTACTGTAAATGTAACATGTACATCCATGTGCTAGGAATATTTCTACACGATGCTATTTGTTTTCTTTAACTGTTTCTTATTTATTTGTTAAAATTCGCGTATAGTAAAGTGGTGAATTCAGATCGGACACAACAGATGCTTTTTTGCACTCTTTCCTTTCGAATCTGGTGGCTTTGGACCGGACTGGATTCTCGGCGGTCCTTTCATGCGCCAATTCTGCAACATTTTTGACATCGGACAACAGCGCATGGGATTCGCACCGTCACTTTAAAAGTAGAGCATTCATTGAATAAAGAAAATGGCATCTGCAAATATTCTTAAAATGCAGTGTTTGCTTCGAGCTAATCTTTGTTAGGATGTGTACAGAAACCATAACGGTTTAGATCTTTTCAATACGATATTACACAGTTACTTTTGAATACATCTACGAGAACATCTATGACACGTCTTTTTGGACAACCGCTGCACTGTACGGCGTTGTCCACCATTCTGCTTACATTTTTGTTACTTCGTAGCAAATTAAGTTAAGCGCCTTCTTCAATATTATAAACCAATTATGAGGCCAGAATTGACCCAATATTTCCGTTTCATCACGAATTCTCACGTTTGAGGCTTCATGCTTGGAATGCATGGATGTTCTAACAGTGATTGTAACAAACATTGCTGCTTTAGTTTTATTAAGACGTAATTTCTGCACGTTTCCAAACCGTTTGCCGCTTTATTATGGATGTGAGGTGTTTCTGGGTGTCGGGCTGCGATGTACAGCAGGAAAATTCATCCCCCTGTCCGGGTCTCCCAAGTAAGAATCCGGCGCTTCCACCAGGAAGCCTGCCTAAACGTAAAGCGCGATCCACCACCGTCCTGGTATCAAATTAGTCGAATGGTGACAAATCTCCCTCTGATCCACAAGAACTGCGACGGCTATAGCGGTGACTACATGGGTCAGACTTTAGCCAGGTTGACCTAAGGATTCCAGGAAACTACAATGCCGAACCAGCAAATATCCTAAAAAATGGAGAATAGCTGGGGAACGCACAACCGGTGAGGATGAGCTATACAAGTATCGAAGTAATTTTTTCACGTTATCGAAAGGTAATTTAAAGACATTCATCACTGCAATTGAGGGACGACATATAAGAGGTTGCTCAGTGGTTATTCCACAAACGTTGTGTATTGAGGTATGTGTGCCACCGTAATTCACTGTATAAATCAGATATGCATGGAATCATCGTTACGTTTAATGAAGTCGACTGCGGAGCTCATCTTTCTTGTACTGACTAATACCAACCGCTGCATTCTTTAAGTAGTAAATCGACGAAGTTGAAGCTGGATTTCAAAGGCGGTTTTCCGTTTGCCAGTGTGTTAATTCCGATAGAGAAAGGTGACCACTGCATTTTGAAGGAAAGAAGGAAGGACAATGACTTGAGAGAAAAAAGAAATGCAAACAAAAGATGTGTTTCAAATGACATTCGTTTCATTATACGCTTTTCTAATGAAGAGAGTTATAGTTCTGCCATAAAACCATTTATAAAAAAAGTGGTCATGTACCGCATGAAAACATTCTGCATCTGGACGGTCTACATTCTTCATGATTGGCGGGTGTCTTGGCTGTCGAATCGTGATGCATTATTTCAATGAAGTAATCCTATTAACTCCAGACAAACTATGAACGGGTTAGATGTTATCATTCAGAGTTTGACTAGGAGTAAACCTGCGGTATAAATTATACAGCGAGCTCCTCGTAGCTGCCGTGGCGACAAGAACAGTGACTTAGGACATCATACTCAACATGTGACATTCTTTGTGTCTTTTGAACAAGCACAGCCCACGTGGCGGGTTTAGTTCATACCTGTCGCTCAGTGAATAGTGAGAATTGCAGATGATAGGCGATTCGTTTTAAGCTGAAACGCAATCCACTCAATTAAAAGCTTTCCTAGCTTAGAATAGTAGATAAGACATAAAACATCAATGTTCATTTGTATAGTGAAAAGCTTTTCTTAACACTCTAGAAGTGACAACTATTTCGCAACCTTTTGCACGACCGTCTATGCGAAATGCGCATTTGCATAAGTTGCGCTAACAAGAGAAACGGTGACTGTATGAGTTCGAGTGAAGGGTACCTAATGCCTTGCATGAAATGTAGAACGAATACTTCAGCGAAATGGATAGACCACTCTGGGCCCGTATAAAAGACAGCGTAGAGCGTAAGTGTAATATTGAACCAGATATGACGCTAAGCGCGCATAGGTCCCACAAACATAAAGCAAGAAGACAAAGCTCTCGGCGTTGATCAATCCATGAGGGATGCGCCATGCATTCGACTTCATTATGTATCGTTGGAGGCGACTGAATGCATATCTGGCGTTTACAATGACTCGCGGTGTCCTACCGATGTAACGACCCCGTACTGCTACACTTCCAGACAAGTCTGGTACCAATTTACCGACCCCGGTGGGATGGAAGGCTTGGTGGGCCATGGGCGCTGGGATCGATTCCACGTGTGCGTCGTAGTGGCGCCTTCAACCACTGCGCCACACGCACCATTTTTCTCTAGTGATTACGACACATGATTACGACAAATTGGTTCCACGTGCGTCTTACAGTAACTTCCCCAAACACTGGGGTGCACGCGCCCAAGCATGAGATAAGGGATGGAATTACGAAAATTTCTATGCATTGATTGTCCTCAGTGAAAGAAATCACTATCAGCGGACAGTTAATTGAAAAAATGTTATGTGTAAAACGGCTACTTCATCCCTGTGGTGCTCCACTCTACTCGATCCAATTCGAAGCTACGGTGAGAGACACATTGAAGGAATGAAAGGCTGTGGACCAACGACTGGTATCATCGCGGCTCTGAAAAAGGCGAAGACGTAGAAACGTTATCCTAATAGAAATTCGTAAGAACCTCTATAAGCTGAACCATTTAAGAAGACATAGAATGTCTGACAACGTTAAGTAAAAGTCGATGTTCACATCGCTTACATTCTTTTGAACACAAAGAAGCATTTGCTACTCTTCTTCAATATTTCAAAACCATTAGTTGAATCTGTCGTGGCAAGGTTTTATGTGGACGTTTCTCGGGTTAGTTGTAGTAGAGACCCAATGAATGAATAGTAATGGAAACCTGAAACAATCCATTGATCCTTAAGAAAAAATGCAATCTATTTCTTAGGATGGAGTTATCCACTGTTCAAACAGTCGTATGAATTGTAGCTGCAGCTATTCTTAAGCATGCTTCAATGGCGTAAGCCGAAAACAGTGCTTACGTCTAACTCAAGAAGATATTTTACAAGCTGAAATAAAGCTATCGCATCTAACGGAGAAAGATTATTGAGCGAGATGAGTACGCAGCTTAAGTGTCGTGACGCTGGGTGCTCATCATCACTCATCACTATTAAGGACAGCCTTTCCCCTAACCTTTAAATTGAAACATAGTTTACATTCACAAAATGCTTTAAGAACTTTGTACCCCATATTGCTGTGGGGATTTCAGATTGAATTTACACATCGGAAAAATAGGTGTTGACTTTGACGTTTTTTGGTATTAGATTTAACTCAGGAATTCTTATTAGACATGGAAAGATACCTTGCAGGAAACAGCTTTTGAGGTCTCAAAATCTAAACTCACTGATAGAATATGTGTGTACAAGCACACTAACGGTAGATTCCACGAAACGTTTAGAGGTTAGAATCTGAGATTTCTTATGTGAATCTGGTAGAATCTACTTGGGTTAATTCGAAACCCCGTAGATATCCTTGCAATCGTTGACAACGTTTTCTACTTTAGATTGAGAAATCCGACTTTTTGTAGCTTGGACATGCCGAAATTCTAACTCTGTGACCGTCTATGAGCACATGGAAAAGTTTAAAAACGTGAATAAATCCGTCGTACTAGGTGGATGCATACGTGCCAATGTACCCCGGTTGCTCTCTGGGGCGCGCGTAGTTGAAAAGCACAAAATTGCGCGCGTTGTTCGAAAGCACACAATAAGCTGTCTGACACGTGATAGGTAAATGGGCTAGAGCGTGCTTCAAAAATACTCCCACTTCTACACCAGTAGAGACCGAGAAGCCGCCAGTGACTATAGGAACCTCTAGACGTATACCTTGTTCGTTTTATTACGGAATATTCGTTCCCATGAACTACAATGGACTGATGAGACCACTGGGACGACATCATCGCAGGCACGACTAAATTTATACTGAGTGCTTTCGAATGGCTAGAATTAGCAGCTGCATACTTGTAGTACATGATATCAGGTGGTTGATGCTGATGACGTGACGCATTTTGTTAAGGTATTTGTCACTGGAGATCAAATGTACGTCTTCAATGTCACCATCGACGCACTCAATCAATAATTTACCATCGTAGATGACACCGGGTAGGTCATCTTCTGGGTTTCGAGGAATGGTTGCAGTTGGTAACTATGTTCTGGAACGTGAGATTCGAGTACTATCATAGAATCACAGTGGTTGCAACTGCGAACACTACATTTGGTCCGATATATAACCTATATCTTGTCGGTTTCTTAAATGGTATTTAATGTCTTTGACTACTACTGCCTGCAGAAACTGGAGGAAGTCGTCATCTGCAGAACTGTACTAATGGAGCCCTCGGTCTTCCTTTCACTGCTCTCTTCCACAACGACGCTCTGACGCTACTGATCATTATCATTAATCAAACTAACGAAACACTACCACTACTCGAAAGACCGATTTTCTATAAACCTCGGCATAGATAGTTGATATATTTATTTATGTGATCTTATAAACTGATCTTCTTAAGTTGACGCGAGGTTGGTACAGATCTCCCTTGTCGTTGTCGTTGTTTTTGATGTTATTGATCAATGGCTCACGTTTCGGTGACATCGCCTTCCTCAGAGCCGTGATGTTACGTGCGGGACTCACTACCACTACGATGCTGAGACATTTGTAAAATTCCGGACCACAGGTGTGTGACTGGGTTCAGTGCCGACGTCGCCTCTCCAGATCAATCCCGTTTACGGGTGATTGCTGATGGCACTGATCGATGGAACTAGCTGAGAGACAGACGAAACGAAGGACTCGGCTGGTGTGGTGGTGAGCGTGTTAGCCCACGGAAAGGCTAATATAGCGTTCGTTCTCCATTGCAAACAACTGTGGTCCAGAGTTTTGCAACTACCTGAGCATCGTAGCGGTTGAATTTCGCATAATACCCTGCCGTAAAAATTGTCACCTGTCACCTCTAGTCCCGTTGATCGTCGAGTGACTCGAGCGGGCGCCAGCAAA